GAATTCAAATGGATTTCTTTCAAACTTTTTCTTCTGCAGCTAAGCCACTTTAAGATGTTCTTATTTGGAAGAAGAATTGCAAACAGACCCAAAGGAGTGTGGCTTGTTATGCTGCATTCATAATGGATCAACAAGAGAGCACATGAATTTCACTGTTCTCAATCATCCCCAACTGCATACCATTTGAAGTTTCTCTCTGTGTGTGTGCCATTTTTCTACAGGGTTTCTATCAAGACTGCATATAGATCCAACCCAAAAGAGCTGCAGAAAACTGCCCTAAAAGCAAGATAATGGTATCCAGGCGTGGAGCTCTTGGCAACAGTAGGGAAGAAACAGTTTTTAGCATCCAAGTGTACCCTACAGCAGTGGGAATTCCTGATAGTTTCCCATCCCACCAGTTACAATTTACAGTCCTGCTTAGCTTTTGGAAGGTTGGTTGAAGTCACCCGCTGTGACTGAGGAAAAAAACTTCAGCTATACATTACCTCCTTTCGAACAATAAAGTGTGAGAAAATCAGAAAACAACTGCTGTCCATTAACATGTAAGCATCAGAATGAACATAGCTGGTCTTTGACACATTAAGAAAAACCCAGGAGCCTATTCATTTGATATTAATAATGGTTCATAACATTTATATGCGTCTTCATGAATGCACAATTAACATACATCAAAACCACTGGATCATCCATTCATGCAAATCCCAAGCACAAAGGTTAAGATCATGCTTTCAATTTCAAACAGGTCACTACTATATTCTACTAAACCCCAACCCTAAATCAATTGATACATTTCACTATTAGAAATTGGTTTTAGAAATTTACTTAAGGATGCAGTTGCTTTCATGGGTAACAAAAACTAATTTCAATTTACTGTTGCTTTTAAATGTAACTCTGCTTGAACCAGTGTTTTGATACTAACTCCCAACAAAGGCCATAAAAATAACTAGCATTCGCACACTAAAATCAACTGCATGCATGAGTGCCCCAAACCTCAGAAGGTCACAACAGACAGCGGGAGAATATAAACAGCCCTGTTTTTTGATCTTGCATTTCTTTATCAACATATCATTACTAGCCTTTCTGATTGTATTTGGAACGGGAAAGTGTTGAGCACTCTGTTCTGATGTAGCTAAAACACAACCTAGTTCCCTTCTATTATCAAAGAAGCAATTGGTTGGCATACCAGAATGAAGTACATTATTTCCAGACTAAAAAGCAGTGTCCATCAACACTAAACGTTAACTTTAATCAAGAGTGGTGAGAGGGACGGTTACACACACTGTTTGCATATTTAGGATATAGTTTGGTCAGTTTCCCAGTCAAGCCTACAGTCTTGGGATTTCCTGATGATGTACAATCACTTTCTGATTTAGCTTTTTCTCCCCCACATCAGCCAGCTGGAATGTACCCTTTTGATTCTCCAAAAGTTGGAAACCAGTAGGTAGGCTCTGAGGACAGTGTCCAACTGTTTTTAAAAGTACTAAGGTATCTATTTCAGGTATTAAAGTTATTAGAACTCTCTTCGCTATCAGGAGAATAGATTACTAGTGATCACAGCTTCCAGCAGAATATAATATCTGTAGCTCAGGGTTCAACTGTGGAGTCCTTGGGATTCTGAGGGTTAGGGTTAGGGATTCTAAGGTTGGTTGTTTGCATTCACAATTGTCAACACAATTGTGAATGCATTTCAATAGATTTGTTCAATCTGTTGCTGGTTAGCTACAACAAACTC